AAATATGCATAAAAATGATGATATGGTCAAAATACTCATTTGCCTAATAATTGTACACGCAGTGTATTATCAATTTAGCACTACTGGGCATTTCTTCATTGAGTTCCAAGGTCATGGGAGATGTAATATGCACAGAACAAAGCAAGCACCAACTTCAAATGGATCTTGCTAATGCTCACTAAATGTATGAATTGTGACAACTGGCCTGAGATGTCATGATAAGCCAGAATCGTTCTACTTTTTAAGAGCAGATAAATAAATCTGATGCTTCAGCAGGTGATAGTGCCTGGACACAGAAACTTATCAGGCTTAGGCCTGTTAGTTCTTGTGTCAGGGAGTTCATTGTCCTGAAATACAAGTGTTGAAGGCTAGAGTGGGAAGTAAAGAAACAGCCCAGAAGGCAGCAGTGGCAAACCACTTCTATACTGTTGCCAAGAAAACTTCATGGATGTGTCCATGAAGTTTCCAGGAGTCAAATTCAACTTGAGGGGAATCTCCATTTGTAAATTTTAGCTTTGCATTTGAACAAGGATTTCTGGCTCATTGATTTTCTAACAAATCAAAATTTTAAGCCACAAGAAAATCCTGATTCTGGGTTTGGGACAGCAACAAACCAGGAATTCTGGTTTATATATAATGCTAAGCAAGCCATAGACAGAAGTTACCTGTTTTGTTTGGGTGATTCCAATTACAGGAGGAGCCAGGCCCAAGAGAAACAGACCATGCTAGAACACTTCTGGTTACCCAGGAACAAGCTATTTCAAATCTGAAATATTTTGCACATCTAGTAAAAGCCATTTAATAGTTTGTAAAAATTGTTTTATACAATTGTCCTGGAGAATTTGTACATTCATGCTAAGGCTGCCTGACTGGCCCAAATTTATATAATCCTAGTGCATAATTAGATCACTGTATAAGGCAGCATGCACATTGATCTAGTCTTTATTACAGGATGTAAGAGGGATGGTCAAAGAGGTGAAATAGCCCAGTTGTCATAGTTAGACCATTTTCTGGTAAATTATGGATTCAGTGACCCTTTACAGGGATAGATTTACTAGTCCACCCTTACAGATTTATGAAATCTAAGATATTCCTGAATACACTGTTGAGAATTTTGAGTTGCTAGGGCTGACAATGTTGTCAGAGCTTCGGTCTCCCTATGGAATGATGTAGCAAGTAGACCATCAGTAGTCATCCAAGTGTCTCTCCAGTGTTGTAGAGAACACAGTGCTGGGAGGTATAAACAGGATATATTCCTCTCTGGAACATATATGATATGGAAATCACTTTAAGGATAAATGCATACTACAGCACATGGTTATAATGTTCTATGGACAACAAAAAGAGTGATTTTCTGAATTCATCACATCCTCAAGTAGCCATGCAACTTAATTTTTCAGAATGCAGACAGAAGTCTTAATATGTCCTGTTAAGAGCAGGACACTGTAACAAATTTCCTAGGCCCTTTTAGGATTAAATTGTCTCCATTACAATCTGAATACGAGTACAAAGGTGTCTGATGTTCTGTCATATCCAACTTTCTAGTATCAATTTTTATGTGTGCAATCTGAGGATGTTGACAAAGCTCATGCAGAGATGTGATCGACCAAATGGCTTCTTGATACTTGGCCATCATGGGGGGAGGGGAAGTGTAGCCAGATGTATTCAACAATTTGATTAATGCCTTGTTTATAATTTTTATATAATTTGATAATTTCAACTTTTATGGCCACCCTTACACCAACTCTGGTTGGCTAACAAGAGTTAAAATAGTATAACAATTCAAACAAAATCCCACCAGTCATCTGGGAGGTGGGGATCTATGCAATTTCACCTCATTCATTTCCACTGATGGATATCCCTAACTTCCTAGCCTGAGCAGTAAAGCAATCATTCTAACATTTTAACAGACTATTATGCAACCACTGCTGAAATATCCTTCCCAAGACCCAGAGGTTTTAACTAATAACCCATTTTGGAGCTTGGTGCTTGAGAAAGGCATTATAGCACAATTGCCAGTGCTTTGGGTGGACACTGGTCATCAGTATCTATTCTAATTTGGGTTCAAGTCTGGTTTTGAGAGAGAAAGTACTCTTGGTCAATGTAATGGAGGACCTTTATCAAGAGAAGGGTCAGGGGTAGGGAAATAGTCTTGCCATTTCTTTTTCATCTGTCAGCAACTTTTTGAAAGAAATTGATTATGGTATCCTCTGGAATAGCTCATGAGCTAGAAATGGGAGACATAGTGTTGCAGTTGTTATACTTCTATTTGCAAGGTTGGTTTCAAGGAGTTGATATTGGGAGATTGTATCTATGCAATTATGTTATGAGGGGCTGCCAAGAAGTTTTGTTCCAAATGCTCTTTAATGTCTATGTGAAGCTTCTGGGTATGGCTGTTGGGGGATTTAGAATGAGGTATTATCAGTACATTAATGAAAGGCAGCTCTGTTTCTCTGGGACATCTGAGTCAGGTATACCTATGCACAATTAAATGGGTTACTTCAGTGCCGCAGTGAGCAAATAAGGTGACTGAATCCTGGTAAAACTGAGATCCCTTTGTTTCAATATAGAAATTGATTGATTTACTAGATCTCCAATTTCCCTGCAGGAACTGGTATTTAGTGGGGAGTGCTTGTTGATTTGTCACTGGAGAGCAAAGAACATTTGTATTAGATTTAGTTGACATGACAGCTAAAATCTTTCCTGGACACAATAGCCCTGTCACAATAGTCATTCATTAGTATCCTCAAGATTAGATCACTTCTCTTGTATAGTTCCGAATGAATGCAATTCACATATTTTAGTCCAGCACACAATTAATTTACTTAGTTCTTTAAGTTCATATTTATTGGTGATGTGCTGACAATGATGGCCTGACTGCCAATTAGCCACTAACCGGTGTTGGTGTGTGTGTGGGGGGGGGAGGGGGTTCCTAAAAAGCTCTAAGCAATAATATTTAAGGGGCTATCTGCTTCCTTATAGCCTACCCACTTTTTCATTCTGATGAAGCTGCTCTGCTGCTATATTGGTGGGGGGGGCAGCAGGAGGGGCTAGAAGACTTTGTAGTGACCATAGGCATCTGTTCTTAACCACACGAAGCCCAAATGATGAAATGTGAATTGTGATTTCACAGTGCAAGCTCCACCCTTTTGTACTTACTTGTGTTGTGGCATCATACCAAAATAGGTAAGGGCTAGATTTTGCATTGTGATATTGTGATGCTCATTTTGTCAGTCTTCATTGCCTTATCTGCAGATGCTTATGGTAACAATCTCCATTTTGTGGAACAAATTTCTGATAGAAGAGTGGCAAGCCCTCGCTGTGAAGTGTTTCATCTTTACAAAAAGAATATTCAACTTTATTTAACATTATTGACATGAAATTGCTTGTAAAATACCAGTCTTGCCTATAAAATTAATGATGTCCATTTAATAATTGAAATGAAATACCGCATTCTTAAACACTTATCTAATAGTGAAAAAGGATAAAATGTATATATTTGCTTCAGATATTAGGGATCTCCAGTGTTTATTTTTGTATTTGACTTAAAAAGAAAACAGAATTATCAGAAATCTGTCAAATATTATTATGCATATTTGGTCAAAGTAATGCTGGGTGTCTTGATGTGTTAATTTGTGAAACTCTGCTGTCCATTTCTCTCATTTCTTCCCTGCTGGAGAGAGAACACAGTGGGGCACTTGGAGCAATGACCATTAAAGCATTGTTCTTCTTTTAAAACACTTTTCTTTTAGAAATGATTTGTTTATTGCAATTCAGAATCAAGTATGAACTAATAAGTATTTGCCTGAGACAAATATAGTATATTAATTGAAATTCAGCCCTTAATCTCATGAAAAACTTCAGTTTCTTTCCTTGTATTTTATTTTTTCTGAAATGAGCTTATGAATACTAGCATTTGTATTAAAACCACTTTTTTTTTTTACTTTTCCATTTCAATTTTGGAAAGACTATTGGGAACTTTGGATACATATATGGTTAGCCATGCTTCAGAAATAATAAAATGATTCCAAAGGCTGTGAAAAATCTCATCTAAGCATTTTTTTAAATAGCTGTTTTTTTCAAATAGTAGTTGCCTGTTGTTGGTTGAGCTTCCTCCCATTGATCTTTGAACAAATGTTTTAAGAGAGAGCTTATTATGTAAGTTGGTGACCTTTAACTGACTGTTTGAAACCCAAGGACAATATGAAATTGTATTTTACTACATGATGATTATGCTGGAAAACTGCATCACCTTTATTGTTAGCATTAATCCATTAACAACACTGAGCTCATTATGTGAACCTCTCACTTTCCTATATTATTGGAGCTCTCTTTCATTTTATAGCTGGCTTAAGTCCTGCTGAGATTCAGCAGTTATGGAAAGAAGTTACTGGAGTTCACAGTATGGAAGACAATGGCATTAAGCATGGAGGGCTAGACCTCACTACTAACAATTCTTCTTCTACTACCTCCTCTACCACTTCCAAAGCATCGCCACCAATAACTCATCATTCCATAGTGAATGGACAGTCATCAGTTTTAAATGCAAGACGAGACAGGTAATAAGAGAACTCATCTGCTTTTTCATCTGGTATAAACATTCATCAGTATGGCTCACACAATAAAGAAATCAACTGAAAAATGAGCAAGATGTTGTTTTGAATCTAGGCATTTTGATTTAGTTTTAAAAATTGACTATTTTAACCAGTTTTAACCAATGAAGAGAACTACCATCCTTTCCCTGTCTGATTTATGGGATTTGTTACTGTTCATTGGATATGTTTTTTTCTCCCTTATAGCACACAAGAGTGAATGTGGAAGAGGGATTCACTAAATAAGCCAGTCATGCAATGTAATTTTAAAAATTGCATTTCTACTCCACTCTTCCTACAAGAGCTTAATTCAGCATACATGGACTACTAACCTCTTTATCCTCAGAGTAAGATGGGTTAGACTAAGAGAGTGTGAAAGGACCAGGTTTATTCAGCCACATTACGTTTAAAGCTCTTCTAGCCACTACACAAAACTGGACTTCTTTTATTTAAATGATCTTGTCTAAGAGTTACGCCAAACTGAAACTAAAGGACTTCATACCAATTTATGAAGTGGCACCAGTAGTGTGCCATTGGTGGTAAATAGCAAGCCATTTTTCTGATCTAAATTTTTAAGTGCTTGTGAACATTGGACTGCATTCAGAGGATCTTACTCTATCCAACTACCACCATTTTGGGATGGAGAAAAGTCTTCTAGATCCAAGCCACTGATTCCAGTCTTTTGAAATTAGTCAACTAACAAAGGAACCTAAGCCATAGTTCTTAGCATATCGGTGAGTAAGTCTGTTGTATTCAGTGGAATTAACTTCAAAGTTACTGAACCAAATATTGCAGTGTTAGTCATAACTAACCTTACCTGAACTGGAGACCATATTATTTATATTCATTAGACAAGCAGGGAAAAATGGCTGCAGATAAGGCCTATGGCAGTTTAAAAGGTTTTTGAGGTTTTGCAGTGTATACAATTAGGATTTGTTGATATCAATGTATCATAGTTTCTTTGCTTCCATGTACACATATGTGGTCCTTATGTTCTTTTGTCTGAGCACATTATTTATGAAACATATAAACATTTTGTAGCATTGCAGGTATAAATCTTGAGTTGCTTCCCGTGCTTTATTAGCATAGTGTTTATAACTAGAATAGTTCTAATCCAAGTGTATGTAGGGTTTATCTCAGTGATATTTATTTATTCATTTATGAAGTTTGCAGAAGAATAGGAGAGATGGTACTACCATGCTATGTTCGGTAAAGTTGATAACATGGAGTCATATGTCCATCTGAATTCAAGCTACTTACAAAAATAACTGTGGACAATAAATACTGAAGCTCACCATCAATATGAAAACAAGATCATTTACATGCCACATCTCAATGTACCAAATAAACTGGCATAGAATTAGTCACATTTATTTATATAGCTTACAAGGTACAGTAGCTTTGGCAGCACCCCTATGTGAAGCACAATAAAGTGTTCAAACACCTTTTGCAAATACTTGTCTCCTTTTATCTGGAAACACATGAATCCCCCAAGGAAAGAGAGATGTTTTAAAATGTAGTGACTTGTCTATAAGACAGGCAGATATGCACCTATGAGCAGTTTTCTTCTGCCTAGAGCCAGTGCATCTTGTCTAATCCAGCCAGGTCAGTAACTAAGGCCAGCTTTATTTACTTTTTTTTTTTCTTCCTAGTGTTTTCCCGCAGGTGCAGGGTCCACTTTTTTCGGATCAACTGAGCGTTGATCCATTGGTTGCAACAGGAATTGACTGACCGGCTTGTTGCCTGAGCCTGATGTCATGGGCTGAGAGAGAGTGACTAGCCCAAAGTCACCCAGCCGGCTTCATGCCTAAGGCAGGACAGTCACAGTCTCCTGGTTTCTAGTCTGGAGCTATATTATATTCTTTAACTGCCACAATGAAATGGCTGGACTATGCATGGAAGAGAATAGACCATGAGATTTGGACCCTGAGAAAAGGGGGCAAACAGATTGGTTGATGAAGGTTTTGCAGGTCAGATGGTGCTGTTCTCATACCCCATTTGGTGGATTTCACTCAAGGTCTTCTGTAAGAATCATGGGCAAAACCTGAAGGAAGAGCCACTCATGCATGTGTAGCTGTGAATTTTGCTTGTGATCATGAAGCTATAGTTGAAGCTATAGTTGAAGTGTAGCTGCCCTCATACCCAGCTCTCAATCATGCTTGCCATGGCCACTCTTACCTTTTATTCTATTAAAAACGACACATAGCTTCTACTTCAACTCAGCTAAATGTCTGAGATGAAATCATGCTTCTGTCAGCACCTACTGTTTGCACTAGATCCAAATTTCCTTCCTACTTTGGTGATATAGGAAAAGCTGCTAATGTGCAAAGGGATCCTGCAATCAGGGAGAAGCAGCTAGAGTGGCACTGAAGTTAGCATCCTTCACCATACTGAAGGCCTAGTCATATAAAGCTATAATTTGAACAATAGTTTGCATCAGGTCTAATGCCTTCAAATACATTTTTTCCTTCTCATGGCTGCTTCACCCACCGTAATTATACCTTCCTCTGCATTGTCAGTAGTCAGCAGCACAATTTCCCTATTGCTGCTCTTTGTAGTGGCAGCTGGATGATGGCTACGTGTGTGCTTAAGCATCCCCCATATCAAGCTGAAAGATTTATAGTGTCCTGACTCTCTTTCAGCACTGATAAAGTTAGACTTCAAGATCCCTCTTGAGGTGGCCCTGCCTTACAGAACCCTCAGAGGAACATGGTTGCTTCAGTGGTTGTGGTCATCAGCTAGTCTTCTGGGACACCAGTGCTACCAGCTGTGGACTGGGACTCAGGAGGGAGCAGCTCTTTTCCTTCTGACCACCAGTGTGAGGTTACTGTCAAAGATGTTGATTGGGCCACTATCTCCTTTGCCTATGCCAGAATATAGGCCACTCCATCAGCACTGGGCCCCCTTTCAGTCTCACAGTGCCAGCTAGTGGCATCACTACTACCACAGGAATAGTGGCCAACTTAAAGGAAAGTAACCGCTGTGCAGCTATCACCCTCACCTTTTGCTGTCACATTTTGCCCTTACTCTTCCTTTGATTCATTAGCAGCTCCTCTACCATTCCCAGGCCTTTGGCAACTAGGTTTTTAATAGGAGATAAGAGGATGAGATACCCATAAGATGGGGGGAAGGGGGTGTAGCAGGAGCAAAGCTGCAAAGGAAGCCTTGATTTAAAACAGTAGGGCTCTATTAATATGTATGTTCAGCCTAACAAGTAGCATTGTACACACACAAAACATCTAATTGGAAGTATTAATTTTCCTCATGTAAGCAAGCTGGCTATACTTGGAAGGGGGTATGTGGATATAGGGGAGGGAAAAATATTTTTTTACTTTTAAGAGGAATATGTTGAAAAGTAGGAGGAGGACAGAGAAATTTCTCTCCCCTTCCCCCCCCCCTTATCCCTTTAACCTTATATAAGTCCTTTCATTGCCTTAGAACTAAAAATAAAGCACCCTAAAAGGCTCCTAAATGGGATGGGGAGTTTCCTGTGGCAGACAGCCAGATACTCTCCATCTGCAGCAGTGACAGTAATCCATTCCAATAATTTGTCAGTTGGTTGCAGCAGCAGTCCTGGTCCTCTCTCAATAGTAGCAAATCAGAGACCAATCTGGCCCTTCAGGCCTTGAGCCGTGTGCTTTAAAACTTGCTGGTTTCCTTCCCCAACGATGCCCTCCCATCCAGCTTAAGCAAGATCAACAGAAGCATGACTGTACCTACTAGGCTGAGAAGAAGCAACCAGGCCTAAAAGAGGACAATTGTAACTCAGAACAGCTGAGATAATCAAAGCAACATTGTTTGAATTGGCTACAGTTCATTCTAAGGATGGGATAAATTCAGAATATTTTGTCTCAGTTGTGAAACAAAAGCCTCAGAATATAGGCGTGTTTTGTTTTGAGCCCTAAAGACTCGAAATAACTGCTTCAATCTTGGAAAACATCAAGGTTGAAAACGCTGTGTTATTACATAATAATATATGAATGAAGGTGGTTGATTTTCTAAAAATGCAGAACAGTCTACAGCTTTTTGTAAGGAAAAAAATCACTGATGATTTTTTCAAAACGTGGAGCTTTAGATATTAAGCAATTGTAAAAACAGTACCCTAGGGTAAAAACATTATTTAAGTCTGGAAACTTAAAAAAAAAAAAAAAAAGAAGTCAAGTATTTTACAGTAAAAATTAAAGCTTTCTCATTATCATCTTAATGCCACTCTTACAAAACTGGTTAATTCTATATTATTATCATTAAATTTTATTTAGAGGTAAAATGTTAATTTGAGGTCAAAAGTCAAATTTAGCATACTATGTAGTACATTATTTTTTTTTCATCTTTCATGAACAATCATCTTTGTTTTGTTTTGTTTTTCTCTGATCTGATTTAGAACATCATTTAGCCTTGGCAGTTGAACCTTCAGCAGGACAATTAGATTTTTCGGACTGCCAAAAGCTTTACTGTTTTGGCCCATTTGCCCCGTTCACAACCTGACAAATACAAGAAGACTCCAAGTGCTATGCTTTTGAGATGAATCTCATGCCATATTCTTTTACTGCAGCTCATCACATGAGGAGGCTGGAGCCTCTCATACCCTCTATGGCCATGGAGTTTGCAAATGGCCTGGCTGTGAAAGTATTTGTGAAGATTTTGGACAGTTTTTAAAGTAAGTTGGTTTTTTTGTGTTTGATTATAGGATATAAGATTACAAAGACATAAAGCTAAGCTGTAAATATGTGGTATTACTGGTGTTACTGGTTTATTTGGAAAATTTGTCACAAGTAGAACACCAAGCCTGTTCCACAAATGGAATTGTTCCCCTTTCTTTTATCTAAAATAATACTAAAGTATTTTAGTGGCATGGTGTTTAAGTTACCTCTCTGCAAAAATGTACCTTTTCAATGCCTATTTCATATAAAACAACATATATTCAACTACACTACCTACAAGAGTTTGAACAGTGGTGGGCCTGTGGGCCTCATGCAATGTTCTAGACGTTGATGGGAATGGGATTCAGTACTATAAACCATATCTTGGTGAAAGAAATAAGTGTGCTTATTTAGCTTGAACTATTATTGTTCTTACTGTGAACTGTGAATTTATTATCGGTTCTTAAATGTAGCTTTCAAAGATATTATATCTCCATTATTAAAACACTCTATTATTAAGTTTGTAAAAAAGCTATTTGGAAGGTCCCCCCAAGATTGAGTTGGCCATCACAGCAATGTGATCAAAACTCTGCCCTTTTGTACATGTGTCGATATCATACATACATACAAAGGGGCAGGGCTTTGGTCACGCTACAGCAGCTGCCTTGGCTTTTTGACCCCATCCCTGCAAACGCTTCCAGAAACTCCAGTCCATTTAGAGCACCCTACCACCACCAAAGCTCCTACTTACTTTACTCTGGGACAGCAGCCTGCATGGAACAAGGCTTCATGAGGGCAGCACTGCTTAACCTTGCAATCAATAAAAAGATCTTGCTCACACTGGCATTCCTCTTTTGCTTTGGAATGCCAGGAGTGTGAGAGACATACATTCAGTTTTAATTTCTATGCCACTTTTCCATAAGGAAATGTTACAATACTCTGTTCAACCCAACAGATGTGAAGGGGTAGCAAAAACCATGACCAGAATACCACAGATTTTGCTACGTACATTGAATACAAATATTCTGTAAGAATATTCTCCCACATTCTGGGTAAAAGTGAGTTAGTAGGAAATGTATAAGGTGAGTGCCCACTTTCTAATCCCACTATCCCTTGGAATCATCTCTTACTGGCACAGAGGCAGAAAACCCTAAGTACAGCTAGAATACATGAGCATAACTCCAGAACTCTCATCTCATGTGTTTGAAAAGATAAAGTATGCATTAGGGAATTACATTCTCTCTATCATCCAACCACATTATCATCTGTTTTTATATTGTCCCTTTGTTTAAATAAGTATCCTGTCACGTTATGAAGTATGGAATGAAAATCCAGCACATTTGTTTGGAATATAACCTACCTCTATACAACGCTTGCAGAATTCAGCATGGATGGGTGGAGTGTGTATGTTTAAAATTAGGAGCAAAGCATCAGAACAAAGTAAAATTAAGAGCAAAGTACTCAGAGAAACAATTTTGTAAAGTTTGTGTAATTACCTGGTATTTTCTTTCTGTGTACTGTGAAAGGATTGAACCCAAATGGAGTGACTTTGATAGAAGAGTCATGCAGGGCTTTAGCGAACAAAGAACCCTAATGAAAAGTTATAGGTAGGTTTATCTAGATGAGTAACTTCACAAGCTGATGCTCTTATGTTGTCATGGTGCAGCTAACAGGGTGAATGAACTGCTTCATGCTTCATCAACAATTAAGTTAATTAGCTTATTTGAAATTGCACTGCTTTGTTGCCAGGATGTTGGTAGAAATGTTAGAAAGGCCTGTTTACAAATGGTATACAGCCAAGGGACTATAGACTCAGTAGTTTTAACAGCAAGGCATAGAAGTACGGCACCATAATGCTTTTAGAAACAAGCACTATTTTTAAACACCTGCAAGTTTACATACATATATTTTGTGGCAAATTATATTTGCCCCCCTTTTAAAATTTACCTTTTTTATGTGTGCAGAAAAGGTTTTGTATTTTAAAGAGTAACTTTAGAAGAGCATTTTAGGAGAATAATATGATCTGTAATGTTTCTGTTTATAGATTAAAGAGGTTATACTGTTTGCCTGTGGGATTTAATTAAGCTGCTGAAAATTATTCCAGTTGAAAGTAACCTATATACTGCACATATTGTTCTAATCATAATTGATAAAAGACTTTTAACTAACTTAGCTCCAATTTTTTTTATCCCCAAAAATCTAATTTTTATAAATACTTCTACCCACCCAGGCTGTAATTATATTAATGTTTGGCTTAGACCTTTCACAATTACTTTGTCATTTGCTTTCACGCTTAATTTATAAGGCTCTGTTTTAATAATTACAATATAATATAAAGATTTTGGATTAATAATACTGTGTCTTCTTGTTTATTGCTGTTGCTACTTATTTCTGCTTATTCTTATATCAAAAGAAACTGTTGCTCTTGACATAAAGAAGACATCTGTCTTCTAAAATAGTCTGGTCAAACCTATATTCCATTCCTGTGTGCTATGTTAATCTCAGGGGCTTGATTAATTTTCTATCATCGTCACACACCTTGATCTGCAAAGCCAAAGAGCTCTTGTGGACTGTATACAACCTAGAGACCAGGGGATTCATTGTGGTCCCAAAGAAATGCCCCAGGTACATTACTGTGTTTTTCTGTTATATGTAAACATAAAATTATAAAGACATAAACATAATGTTGTTGTTTTTTTGAAATGGTAATATGTTTTGCAGTCATCTGAATCTGCTTGTATTTAGTCCCCTTAGTCTCTTTCACTGCAAAGACCCATTTTAATTAAAACCTTTTATATCAATTCATTTTCAACTTAAAGACAAAAGAACAGCTTTATTTTCTCCAGTCCATTAACTTGATAGGGCATAACATGTCTGATGGTAGTAGTTTTGAAAGCCTTGCTCTTATATACTATTTTAAAGAATGCTGTAAGTTCTGATATGGTACTTATTAATAGACCTAATGCAAGTATATTATACTGAAATAAAATAGTCAGCCATAAAGAATGCTGTCCAAATCTAGTTTTATTTCTGAAATATCATGGTAATAGGCTTGATGAGACCTCTAATGTAGAAAGTGAGCACTAACTTTTTAAAAAACTAGACCTATTTAAATTGATGGCTCTATGCTTAGTTTATTGCATTATATTATAAATAAGTATATATGTCTGTGTGTGTGTGTGTATGTTTGTGTGTATGTGTGTTGTATTTAAAAATATATTTTAGTTTTGTTTATAATTACCAAAAAAAAATGCTGCACTAAGTCATTTGAAATGACTTTTCTTCCCCTCTAAAAAGGTGGCTTTATTTCTCATTTTTAATAAAAGATTTGGAGTAAAGAATAATCTTCAGAATATGACTTATAGCTATAAAAATATATTTTCATTTTTCTTGTCCCCCAGCCAAGATGATTTTTCTCTGCACTAAGATGTTTAAGGGTCCCCCCCCCCCCGAATTCTGAGATCAACAGTGCTTGCCCATTATTTTCAATATAGTTAGTTTTACCTTAAGTGGGCTACCTTACATGATAGGCTGTAAAAACACAGAGAATCAGCAGATGTCAGCACAGAAATTCAGAAAATTCTGTTCCTTTGCTGCATCTAATGGTTAGCTGGATTTCTGCAGCCTATATATGATAGTGCCATCGTGGTGCACTCTTGGATATACAGGGTGGTAAACTCTTACAATCCTTGATGTCTTGTGATTTTGAACACTCAGCCATAAGAAAATTTGGTTTACTTTCAGTTTTTTGTTGTGTAAGTTTGTATTTACTCATGTGCTCATGATTTTTTTCCAAGAAAATCTATACTGCAAATCAAAATTTGAAGTTAGGTCAGAAAACAGTCTTGCAGAACTGCAGAGAGAACAGTGATTGAATGGAATACTATGCAGTGAAAAGTGATTAACAGACTGCCAAAAATGTTTAGGAATTCATTTGGAATTTTACTATAAAACAAGTGTTGACAGAAACTAACCATTTTGCTGGTCAGCAAGCAAGGAACCTCAAAGATCACTAAAAGCATTTAATAGTAGTTCTTCATTACTGTCTTATAAATGTCAGAATGTAATAACACATGACAAAACTTTGGTGTATTTTGTCTGCAAAACTAATTATCATTCCATTGGTCCTAAGTCAGTTTGAGTGTAGATGGATTTGACTTTTAGAGCTTTAAATCAAAAGGTTTATACTATAGCATTCCAGCCAGCAGACCCAAGCATTCTTTAACCTGCATGCAGCAGACGCCAGCAAAACAAAACATGATCTACAGTACAAAGACAGGCAATGTTTTTTGTATAGAGGCAGAATTGTTGATGTTGAGAAAAAAATCATGCTGTACAAAAAGATAGGGCAGCTTACCAACACGAAAGATTGCCTGTATTTCAAGGCTTTCAAAGTATAGTAACTGAATGCAATGGAAAAAGCAATATAAATTAATTAGGCATCAAACTTCATTTTTCTCTTAATCCACATATATACAAACCCAGAGGGAAAGAGAATGACAGAGACAAAAATTATTATTATGCTCCTTTTCTTTTACTTATTATGTAGATTTTCTTTGGCTGAGAGCAAAGTCTAGTTCCAAAAATATGACCTCAAAATGGCATTCTTTGAACTTGTCAGAAAATTGTGTCTTTCGGTCACAGTGCCATCATTCCTCAAAACTAAGACATCTGACACAATCAACTAAATGAAAACTGACATACATGTAATAGAACATACATACAGGCACATTTGGTATTTCAGCTCCTCGCACTGTTTAAACATTAAAGCTTGATGCAAAATAAATCACACACCATTTATGTATAAGTGAAACATCTTGCTAAAAGAGCCTCTGACACTCTTGGAGTTAGAAATGTTTCCCTTTTTGACTTTAGAAAAGCTGTATTTTGCAGTAAATTTGAAAATCCTATTTTAAAATTGGTTTAATAGTTTGCTATATTGCAGGAAAAGCTGGCACATACTGTTTAGTCCCTTAAATCAATAGAATGAAAAAGAAAAAAAAAGTGGAAGAGGATC